CCGTTTCTTTTTTTTTATTATTATTTTTTTTATTTTTTTGCGCTCTCCAAAGCACCCGTGCTGTAAGCGGAGAGCAGCGCAGGCATCCGCCGAGCAATAAACACGCCTGCTCCTTTCCCCACTCCAGGTCGTGAGTGAGAAATGCGGGACTGAGGATTGGGTCTGCTCAAGGGCTGACGGGAATATTTTGAACTTCGGAAACGGTTTGGATGAAACCTGCGGCAGCTGTGAATAGCATACACTAAACTGCAAACAACATGAATACTTCAGTTCTCATCCCACCTGGAAATAACTCCATGCACCTGAATTTTTCAGAGAAGAATTCCCAGATCTTACAGTTTGAGGATGAAGATTGCCATGTGCCTTTAGCCATGGTCTTCACTTTGGCCTTGGCTTATGGGACTGTGATAATTCTGGGCGTCTCTGGGAATCTGGCCTTGATTATCATTATTTTAAAACAAAAGGAGATGCGCAATGTTACTAACATCCTCATTGTCAACCTGTCCTTCTCTGATCTTCTGGTGACCATCATGTGTCTTCCCTTTACCTTTGTATATACTTTAATGGACCACTGGATTTTTGGGGAGGCCATGTGCAAGCTGAATCCCTTTGTGCAATGTGCCTCAATCACTGTCTCTGTCTTTTCTTTAGTCCTCATTGCTATTGAACGCCACCAGCTGATCATCAATCCCCGTGGCTGGAGGCCAAATAACAGACATGCCTACATGGGGATTGCTGCCATATGGATTTTAGCCACAGCTTCCTCTTTGCCTTTCCTGATTTACCATGTATTAACGGACGAACCCTTCAGAAATATAACATTTGATGAATATAAAGACAAATACGTGTGTTTGGACCTATTCCCTTTGGACACTGCCAGGCTTTCTTACACCACGACTCTTTTGGTGATTCAGTACTTTGGACCACTCTGTTTTATATTTATTTGCTACTTAAAGGTAAGAGAGATTTCCCTTGGTGATCTGTCTTTCTTTCTGTCTGATGTTTGTTTATCCGTGCAAAGATTATGTTTGTAGGTTAAAGCATCCCACATGTTTTTCTTTGTTGAATTTTCTGCAGATATACATACGATTAAAAAAAAGGAACAACATGATGGACAAGATGAGAGACAATAAGTACAGATCCTCTGAAACCAAAAGGATCAACATCATGCTGATCTCAATAGTGGTTGCGTTTGCAGTTTGCTGGCTGCCTCTTACCATCTTCAATATTGTCTTTGACTGGAATCACGAAATTCTGCCTGTTGCGACCTGCAGCCACAATCTGTTATTCCTGATTTGCCACCTCACAGCCATGATCTCTACCTGTGTGAACCCTATCTTCTATGGGTTTCTCAATAAGAACTTCCAGAGGGACTTGCAATTTTTATTTCATTTCTGTCACTTCCGCTCCCGTGAGGAGGATTATGAGACTATAGCCATGTCCACCATGCACACAGATGTTTCAAAAACCTCTTTAAAGCAGGCAAGCCCAGTTGCATTTAAAAAAATAAGTAGTGATGATGATGACAAAATCTAAGAAAAAGAGTAATAATCCTACGCTAAACTGTTCAAAGTGTGATCACAGATGATGTAAGTCCAAGGACAAGCACAATCATGTAACAAGTATCAAATGGATAAAGCTTTTTGTCCTTTTTTCAAGGAACTTTGATTGTTGTCACTTTGAAATTATATGCTGTGCATTTTTGCACCTTTTGCTGCTTTAATGTTCACAGCAGTTATGCCTGAATCTTATTACAAGATGTAGTTGGACCTGCTACTACCTAGGGTTTTCATCAGCTACCTTTTGTTCTGTTTTCTTTGTACAGTTACGCACCTTAGCACAAAGATTTATATTGACTTTTTTCCAAAGGAGTATTTTTCATGATTGTCCATTAGAAACAACATGAACCACAGAGAGGCTGTCACTACCGAGGACAGCCATCTCTCATAAAATTAGGACATTCTGATTTGAAGAGGTCTTTTTCTTTTTTCCTAATCCGCCTTTTGATCAATGTTAAAAGCCTTTAAAATCAGTATAGGCACATGGAAAATGATCCTGTGAAACCTGTAGAATAAGTTAAATGGGGACACAGATTTGTCTCGCTCATAGAGGTAATTCAGGCTGTAATCACTTAGGTTCAAAGACAGGATTAAGAGAGAAATTCTGTTCTCATTTACAAGAATAAAAACCGAGAGTAATTCCACAGAGCACAATGGGATTACTCTGATGTTTCCCCAGCGTAAATGAAAGCACAAATGGGCCTTTAATCCCAACTGATTATAGCTGATTTTAATAGTACAGGCTTTTTTTAATTTAAAAAAACAGAACCTCATTTTCATCTGCCATCATTGGAAGGAGTTAGTGTTACTAACTGTTGGTCCCACGCCTATGAACCATATAAAGTCTACTTAAAACCTATGTCAAGAACCTAAAGAGAGATTGAAATGGCCACCTTCTGTACAAGGTGGAATTCCAACCTCGCAGGTGACCCTCAAAATCAGGTCTAGGATAAAAAATTTGGCTTCAGCTACCTGAATCTTTTTATAGTAATTAGTGCTGATCTATATAAATTATATATAGCCTTATAGAATTCTGGGTTCAAATGCAATGGTATAAACCTGGATTATCTCCAAGACAATGGATGGTTTAATTGAGGCTTGTACAATTTAAAAGGAGGATATAGTTTGGTTGTAATTGGTATATTAACTTCCAAACTCACCGTTTCCATAGTTGATTGAAGTGTGGAAGTATTTGCCAAATATACACAATAGAGCTGTGTGTGTTACTGCTTAATATATATATATCCTCTAATTATACAAAATATACAGGACTAGATCCCCAGCTGAGGGAAACCCACATAGCTTAACTGCTGTAAATGGAACTACAACAACATTAGCGAGCTGAGGTTCTGTGTCATAAAGTGTACTTTGCAGTACAATCAATGCCTTTTTGAATAACCAACTTTTAAAAATACAGGATAGCCCCTATTTTCATTTAGCAAGTTTGCTCTAAGCCATTCTGGCAGAGAAGAGGGTCTTTAAAATGGGTATAAATGTAAATGTAGCATAAATGGCAATCAGATCTGATATCTTGCAGAGCAAAGATATCTCAGGATGTGATGATGAATTTAAAATGCTCTACTTCAATATGGATAAATGCCTAAGAATTGAAAATTATTTAATTTGCCAATATTTAAAAGTCAAAAACTGTGCCTTGTGCAGTCTTATAAATAGTGTAGATTATATTAAAGTAGCAATGTGGTGTTGTGCATTATAATTCCATGTTTTTCTTTATTCGCAGATAATTTACTTAAAGAAGAGCATGGTTGAGAATAGGGAGGGGAAAGTATTATACATAAAATGAATTATAAACAGAGAACTTTGTTTCAGAGCTTTGCACTTTTGTGTTTTATGAGATTTCTCTTTTCGGTGTGGTTCTCTATGGAGCATGTTGCTAATAATTTAACAATAGGCTCCGGAAATTATTCCCCTATCACTTTACGTTGTTTTTCATATAGTAAGGGAATGCGTATTTTCACAGAGAGATACAATATAGAAATCGAGCTTTGTTTTTCTATTGAAAATATCAGTGTTTTTTTTCCCCATTAGAAACAATCACAGCAATTTTTTCCGATTAATGTTTCTCCCATTTAAAAAAAGCATTTTCTTCCAATCCAGTAGGAGAAGGAGACAGAATTACTTGAGCAAGTGCCAGTTAATTTATTGGAAATGTTTGATTTGGCTGAGTTAAATGTGTATAGAGGGTGACATGTTAGAGCAACTTTAGAGGACTCTATTAATGCACAGAGAATAAAACTAGTATATCCTAAGATTCAGAGGTCTTTGAGAGGATAACAGTATTTTTCCTATGCTGACCTTCTGCTTGCTTGATGTATGGTCTCAAATCAAATAATGTCTGATTTGAAGTGGTACCATCTCACCATGAGATGGTACCAAGCCTGATGAACATGTTAAAGCTGCGTCAGCACATGTGAGCTGGAGTATTCCTTAGGCTTGGCCGCGTTAAGCTGGGAGCTGTTCTGATGCACAGCTGTCCCAGGATCAGGCTTCTTGCGTATGTTTCCTCCTTTCCCTGCACTGCGCTTTTTTCAGCCTCTGCTAAGGACACAGACTAGGAGTACATAGTCATACAAATAGCACTGGTTAGGCTGCCTGAAATGACAGTGGGAAGTGAACTCTGTGTAAAAAGGAATGTGTTTAGCAGGAAAATGTGTTTGGAGGATTTCAAAAGCTAAACCATTGCTCTTCAGAAGAATTTTTATGAGGACAAAGATGAAAGTAGTCTCTCTGAAGGGCTGACCTGACATCTGCAGGGCGTAAAAGACATTTACCAAGAGCAGTATTTTTGTCTTTGGTTTTATGACTTGACACTGGAATCCTCAAAACCCCCTGGAGACTTTCCCCTCCTGACACCTGGCTACAACACTAATCCTCTTTTTCACCTTCCCATCTCCAGCACAGCTTCTCATCCTGCATGTATGGAATTTCTTTATAGGGTGGGCTGTTGGATGTCATGTTTCTCTATCGTTTCTCAGTCATTCTGATTTGATGTTTGTTCATCCTATGTGATGTTTTGTCAAACACTCCACGCTTCAGCACGTGCTGATTCCTATCTCAAAAGCCTGTAAATTTCTCTTATTCTTTCAGACTGGTAGAAATGTTTTACTGACAGAAAAACAAAATAGCGAGGGATCTATAATGTATCTTACTATTTATTTGTATGCAACACATTTAGTGTCAAATCTACAGCCCTAAATGACAAATATAACTATTTAACAAACCTTAATATTGGCTTCATTTGTCAGTTATTATATTATCTTAAACTTCCCCTTTATCCACCACAGACATTTAATGTCCCTGCATAATCATAATACAGCAGCATATTTCTATGTCCTCTTTAACATTTCTGTATTCCCATATTGCTTTTCCAGCATATCTCTTGGTTGTGTCATCGTCACTATGTGCTGTAACCCACAACGTTCATGTCTTTAATTAAAAAAAAAAAAAGGACATCAGGAAAGGAGGCAAATAATTGAATCAATACCTGGTTTTGATAGACTAGGAAAAAGTTGGATTAAAAAAAAATAATCCTGTTTTTGCAAGCTCCTACTTCAGCCTTAACAACCAGGTTTAAATAGGAAAAGGAATTAACATGACTAGACCTTTAAGCCAGGTGAGCTGTTGCTGACTGCATTTCTTTACTGATGAAGGTGTGAAGGCCTAATGGTTCCTATATTCTAACTCTGTTGTCTTCTGATAAAGTACTATCTGTTATTAATGGATCCTAAAAGTAAAATTTGATACTGGTTTGTATTCAGACTCTAAGTGAGCACATACTTACATCTGGACTTGTTTATCAAATTTTGATTCTGATCTCAGGAAAATGTTCTGAGATTAATGAGACTGAAGAAATTGCTTAAAAGTAACCATTCACCTAAGCACTCTGTTGAAGAAAACTGAACTGCTGGTTGGAAGCTCACGTACTTTCCTAAAAATCAGATTTTGGATTTCAGCTTAATATAGGAATAAATTAATGGCATATAACTTTTCTCTAGATTTTTCTCTGAAGTGTAGTGCCTGGCAATACTTCAGTTTAAGGTTTTGGTTCAGATCTACTCCTAATTCCTTGGATCACAGATTTTACCAAACCATTGTATGAAGAATGAAGACAATAAGGAAAATTATTTTTTTTTGTTTGTGTTTTTAAAGCATACGTAACACTAGGAGATATAGGCTTAAATAACACCTCTGACTGCTACAGATTAAATTAATTCAGTTGAGTAGAGAGGATGCGGAAACTAGGTAATAATCAGTTGTTAAGTTTCTTTGGCAGCCCTTTCTCAACTGAAAGATCTATACAACTTATAACTCTACCATGTCATCTTCATTCCTCTTCATATTATTTAATAGGGTGGCATTTCTCTTGAGATGAAAACATAAATACCTGAGTCATTACTAAAGATTGTGCCAAAGCAAGCTACTTTCTTCTACCCATTTTTTATGGAATTTCAAATATTTGAGGACGACACTTCAGAGAGGAAAAAATTACCAGCTCTAATCGCTTGTAATCTAATTTACCTGTGGCCAAAAATAATATATACTGACTATTTCTGCTTGTGCAAAACAGCATTGGCAGTCTAATTAAGTTGATATTTTGAAGGTTCAGGAGAGAATTCACAAAGACTAACTTTAGCTGGAGGATGGTGATTTTCCTAAAGTCCTCCAGTAGCAACTCAAGGGCATTCACACCTGCTCTTCTGCAGATGCTACACACCTACTGAAATGTCTTTCTCTCCGTTACTTGTACAGGGAGTTAAGGGAAGACCGGCTTCTAGGGCTAATGTTAGGCCTAGCGAATACTGCCTCTCTTCCTCCAAGCTCTGTGTTGTTAGAACTGTCAATTTGTACTATGTAAACTTAAACTTATAAATTTACACTTCATAGGAACGGGTTTCTGAGGAAATCAGAGTACTCTGATTTTGTAAAATGCTCAAGTGTGCAGTAAAACTCACCTCTGTTCAGGACAGTACTTTATGCACATGCAAAGTTTTAAATAATTATTTGCACAAAAATTCTGTTCTAAGTAGGCAAATTTCTCAGAATCCTCACTCCATAAAAGTAGAAAGTTTACAAAGATTACGTAGTTGGAATTACATCTGTGCGGAATATCCATCTCGTTATGGCAAAACTGGTAGTGTGCTCTATCTTATGTTTTCCAAACATCTGTGCTGAAGAGCTGGTCATCTGACCCAGATTAGGCATAGTCTCAAGAATTTGCACTAGGTGCAAAGGTGTTTGAGACTGCAGCACAGGTGTGGCTCCCCATGGTCATCTCATTTGCTACAAGTCATGCAAACTTTCAGATATAAAGGTAAATAAATATCTCTTACCTCATATGCAGTTTGGAAAAGAGCAAATAAGCAGAAATTCTAGGTGAAGCCTTGATACAGTCTGTCAAATGTACACAAAAAGATTGAAAGGCAAACTCAGATATTTATTCAAGTTCAAGGCCAAAAGATTGATATGTAAATGGTTTTAGGGCAGAATGGTGGTCAGAAGGTGATGTATAAATAACAAGTTCTCTACTTCTGTAGAGAAGGGGATATGTATCTTAACAAATGACAAGCAGGACTCTGAAAACCTCTTTTAAGGTTCTTCATCTCAAATATATCTAGATTTCATTTTGAGACCAAGAAAACAAGATGTTTTTGGCACAATGGAAAAAGAACAGCTTTTCCACAGCACCCACCCACTACACGAGTCCATTTTATTTCATTTCTGCACAACATGGAGACCATTTGTTCATGGAAGGAGTAGTGCCTTGATCAACAACGCTCTCCTTGTCTTTCTTGGTTCTTGTTCACACTGACACCATGCTGATGTTTTTCACTCCACAATCTGTATTTTTCTCACAAGTGATGTCATTTTTATTGTGTTGTTTTTATGGTTTCTTAATAAAAGCTGTCTGTGAAAAGATGTTCTTGAAAGATCATCTTCTATGTGTATTTGAATACATGGATGAAAGGTCATACAGGATTTGTAGAAAAGTTGCTGGCAACATGAAGATTTTTTTAGGGGTGGAGAGGTAGAAAATGCATTTATTGCATATTGTTATTCAGCCCTTCTTCTTTAATGTTTCTGTGATCATTTTGACCTTGATACATCTAATATAAATGTCAGCTAAATCCACATATCTAACGTCTCCTATTGGCAATCAACATTTAGAGACATCTAGCTAGCAGGAAACAGAACTTGCTTCCTTACCTATGGTTCTTTTGATTGCCTATGAGCTTTTCATTGTCTGTAATACACTTTAAGATAGTTAATCAAAAGTGTTACTTCTTTCTTTTTAAGACTACTAAATGTTCTACATTTAATAGATTTAATTGATAAGAATGGGATACCTTTTCCAAATTTTTCCATTCCTACATTATTACTATGACTGTAATGTATGAGTCTGTTCACTAGGCCTTGATTTGTCATAATTTTGAGTAAAGAAGTAGTCTCCTGGATGGCAGTTCCCATGTCCATGGTTAGTCAGGTGCAAAGGTAAGAGCCTTAAAGCTCTTACACTGGGAGGTTAATGAAAGACCTCACATTGATTTAAGTAAGCTTTGGATAAGTTCCCTGCTTAAAGTGACACTGAGGTGCAGTACATGTCTGAATATCTGCTTCCTAGAGAGGGCAGCAGGCCATAAAGAGTGACTTTTTATAGCCATCTGGACTCCACAGAAATGTAACCCCACAGTCTTCCATGTCACTCTGAGGGGCATACTAAAAAGACATCCTCAGCTAGTACCTATGGAAAGATTATCCTCCTAGGTTCTCCAGCCAGTTTTATTCTCATGCATTATCTTGACATAATTACAAACTAAATGCATCTGCCAACCTGTCAGCTTGCTGATTTAAACCAATTTGCTTCACAGAAAATTGAAGAGGGCACTAGCAATTTTGAATGTAGTTTTGGTTCTTGACAGGTGTACTTATTTATAGATTTTCATTACTAAGAGTGTGGGTATTTTTAGTATTATTACTATTACCTTTTTTCATTTTGTTAAAGAAAATAATTGGTAACACCTGGATGGCATAATTTCAAATTCACTACATGCTGTAAGGAATCCTAGCCTGCAACAGGGGCTTTAGCTAGTAATAGTCCTCTTAAGAAGAGACTTCAGCAGCCACGAACAAGAATGCTGCAAATGCTGCCTTATAAAAAGGTATCTTCAGAATTAGGTAAGGGCACCTTTATATCAAAATATATAGACTTGAATTTAATGTGAGTATTTTTGTTGGGGGAATTATGCATTCAAACAACCTAGCAACTTCATGAAATTGTAGTGCCTGAGTCTGGTCTCACTTACGTTAGTCTGATATTGTGCTAACTCCTTTGATGTTGTTGAGAAGACTCTTATTTAGGTAAAATATGTAAATGAGGTCAGTCTGGGAGTGATGTCAGATTTTTTTAGGCCCATCGATCTTATATTATCTGGGATGAGATAGGATCCTGAATATTTAACCCTAGTGTTTTTTAAGGAAATAATGCACCTTAGCTGCCTCTTCTCCTCTTCCTTTCAATAGCTTTTGAACTCCTTGGTCATTTTCATTCAGACCTGACAGATTTGTCAAAGGTAAAAAGTTGGTTGAGGATGAGATGGAATTGGGCTAGCTGAATACCTGTTCTTTAAATAAGTTTGTCCTTTTAAGCAGGACATGTTTTTTCAGTGTTATCATAGGAAATATATGCTCCACCATAAAAATAAAAGAATATGTTTAATACCACTGAAATACCACATTAGAATGCTGCATTTTATGTAAAAAGAAAAAAACCCCAAAACTTACCCTTGTTGCAGTTCTTGTACTGTGCTTTTCTGGTTTGGAAGGAACAAACTACAAGATCAGAGATTTCTCCATGGAGTACAGCTGCTTCTCTCTTCAACTAAACCTCTCAAAGAAGCTATTTTTATCTCCAAACTATGACCTACTGTATGTTTCTAAACCATATCTATTGGCAATCATACTTATGCTGCGGTTAGTGTTAGCTTTCCATTTATTTTACTCCAGCATTATAACACCGCCAGAGACACAATGTTCTCAAATGTCAATTCTTTAAGCATCTTGAAAAACACAACCCGATTTCACCAATCTCTTAAAAGACACCAAACTCTGAAAAAACCTTTTTACTTACTTTGTAAACATTTCAACTCTAACACGTTATATGATGTATTGCTTTTACTAATCTATTAAACAAGATCCAACTAACCTTTTGTATTGAAGTGTTGCTCATTTCACTCTGATGTCTAGATTTCATATAAAGCTTTTAGCTAGATCTATTAAAACTGTAGTGCATTTATATACCTGTGTTGCAAACATACTGAATATAAGAAGAAAATAATTTGATATAGTCACTGTAGTCATACAGTTTTGGGAAGATTAGGAGCTATGCAGATAAGAGTAATTTTATCAAAGCCTAAGTAAGGAAAAGCATGGAAAACTCATGCTTGTCTGCTATATTTGGCAGCAGCCAGCTGGGCAGCATTATAAGAGTGATGAATACATTCTTATGTCTGAACCAGGAAGGGGAATATGGGGAGGAGTACCATGGGAGAACTTTTTTGGAAGATTTGTGGTACTGTGATGTTAGTTTGTATGGGGATATGTGCGGAGAGCTGGGGCAAATTTGGTGGAATAAGGAGCAGATGCAGTGCATAGACCCGTGGAAACTGAATCTTAATTTTGCTATTTAGAATAACCTATGGTAAGAAATTTATGATAATTATTAGTTTCTAGGTCAAGCTACAGTACATATTCTTCTCATGGTTTGTGTTTATGTTTTTTTCTTTTTTCAATTTAACATAGTTCCTATGTCAAAGAGAACTAGTCAAGTGAAGGTGCTGACAGTACAAATTATTCTTTTGTAGCTCCAAAGTCTGCTGAATTTAAAAGAGTTCTGATTGCACTAATATACTTACTTGGTATGCTATGTTAAAAAAAAATCGTACAGATGAGGCAGTGTTTCTGATGAATGTATATGCAATAATACTAGCTGCATAATGAAGACACAAGTATTACTCATACATTCATACTAAAAAAACTTCTGTCAGCTATGTCACATTGAACACTGCCATTTGATTTCTTACATGTTTTTCTTAGAAATGCAATGCTATTTGTACAATGACTGTGGTTGCAGCTAGGCAAAAAAAGAGTCAAATCTCTCTGAGAGGTATATTTTTACATGATTTTTTTTAATCCCCCCCCCTTTCAGTCAAACACCTCTCTAACTTCTGTTTTTAGTTCAGGGCAGCAGAGAGAGAGTTCTGACATATTTAAACACTTCACTGAAGGCCCTATAGCAAAACTGAGACAATCTGAAAGCTCTGCTGTTTTTTCAGTGGTTTCTGAATGAGGATCCCTGCTAGCAGGAGTATTTAACTGGATATTGAACCACTCTGCTACTTTGGCCTAACGTTAGCCAAAATTCAAAGCAGATAGGACTGTTTTCATTAGACAGAAGCTGAGTTGAACATATTCTTGTAGCAATGTTTATTTGGAAACATGTTATACAAATAACAACAGGAAGCTTCTTTGAAGACCAGTTCCCAGTGAGCCTTGGTTTAAGAAGCCCTGTCTCTGCTTCCGCTCAGTGTCATGCCTGTTGCTCTTTGTACTGACTCTCCCTACTCCCACTGCAAGCAGCCCATACTGCAGCTGCGGAGATGGGAATCACTCAGACCTCTTTTGGTTGTGGTTCAGGGTTAAGTAATCCTGTTCTCCACCTTCCTCTCTTCCCATGCCTACATATCACAATCTCTTGTCACGCTGAATCGTAAACTAAGCTGGGGCACCCATCCAGTTTAATAATAACCTAACAACAAAGAAAGGATGTGGATGAGGGAATAGGTCCAATTTATCACCTGGTTACACAAACACTTGTTCTGGTGTGAAGTGCAGAGATTAGCAGGGGGAAGGAGTGAATGACTGGGGATGGGGAATGCACAATGCTTAGGCTGCCTGGGCCACATAAAGATGCTAATCAAACTGTGCCTAAGTTCATAATAAAGAAAATGCCTATTAATCCATCAATGTTGGATGCTCTGACCTGCTATAGGGTCTCTCTTCTTGGGTGGCCACCCTCTTATAAAACACCCTCTTATGTTTTTGCCAAATGAAAAGACTTGATTGGTCCCTCTCTAGAGCCTGGAGCGCTTATGAGTTTAAATGAGTCTGTGATGTGATTCTCCTCTGATTTAAGCCTTACCTGCTGACAACCATTACCAATTTTCTACATAAAACCACCTTCTATGTGTCAGTCAGTTCTGTTCCAAGAAACATAATGCTCCTGGAGGTACACATTTGCTAGTGAACTCCACAACCACGTGCAAAGGTCCATTGCGTGGGTCTTTGGATTCAAAGATGGGTATTTCTGTGAATTTATTATAGGTTTTTTTCATCTGCAAATGAATTATCTGTGGAACAAATAGACTGCTGGTACATCTAATGAGTAAAGAAAAAGTTATGCTCTTGAGTCTACAGATATACATTCAGGAATATGCAGCAGTGAAGATACAGTTCAAACAACAGGCTAAGCAATGTCATTAGCTCTGAAATCTGAGCTTGCTCTAAACGCATTTTGGTGACTTATGAAGACAGTTGGGATCAGCTTGCATACCTGCCTTGCTTAAACCAGTGTGGGATACTTTTATCAGCAATTACTGTGTTGAACCACGGTGAACCCAAATTTTGTGCTTGCTAAAAGAGTTCTGACTTACAGGTAGTTGCGTTGATTTAGCTCAGCTTGACCTATGAAATCATATATGATTCAACTCAAATCACCCGTCAACTGCACACAGAATATAGTATATGATACTAATAAGCCAAGAGAGCCCATTTCTAAGTATGAATTTATTTCATACTGAGCCTGATCCTTTAGGATGGCTCATATCACATATTTAAGTTAAAACAGCTGCACTTTCTTGAGA